TGTGGATTTTGTCACTATGAGGATAAATGGTTAACTTTCTGGTTCTATCGTGTAGGCTGCAACTTGATACTTAGATGATTTTGGCTCAATTGTAGATACGTTAATTGATTTTTAAATTTTTTATAAATGGATGACTCTCGTGGGCGTTGTCTAATTAATACTACTCATATTTTTATTTAAAAAAAAAATGTTTACACCTCTTTAATCAAATTATTATTTTTTATCCAAACAAAGGTGGCTTGAACATCTCTTCCTTTCCTTTCTTTTCCTTCTACTTCTCTTAATTCAAACTCAGTGTTAAGCTTAGGCTAGCATTAGATATATGAATCAACTTGGGGTTTTTTTTTCATTCTTCAGTTCACAGCATCGTTTTCATTAAAAAAATGTTTGTGTTATTTATGTTATTTTGACCTTGCTTTTTCTGTTACAGCTGTTAGTTAGCGGTTATGCCAGTATGGCTTGTTTGGCTACATTAAGTTCAAAAAATCATATCTTGAATCATAACTTTCCAGGTTTCTGTAGGCCACTTTTCTAAAATAAATTTACATTGTCTTTTCAGTGGAACAAAGCAAGCTGCACATAGGTTGAAGATTTTGTTTGGATTAGCTGGTATGAAAGCAGCTGAACTTCATGGAAATCTTACTCAAGCCCAGCGTCTTGATGTGAGTAGCTTGGAATATATCACTTTCTTTATCTGACTTTACCAATTTCACATGAGAATATTGGTTCATGCGGAAGTACGAACATGTTAGGCAGCACCTTAAAGTACTTCCCCTGTTTGCTGATTTGGTTATGATATTTATTCCATGGTGATCTAGATGACCTATCTAGGGTTTTGGACACTCAACACCTAGCACCATGATCTTCATGTAGTTATTATTTCCTTTAGCAGTCAATCAGATGCAATTAATTTCTTATCGTTTTTGGACATGGGTAAAACTGTCTCTGTACACAGTTAATGAATTTCCTATCCTCTTTTCTGTCAGGAAAATGTCAGTGATCAATTAGAATAATGCCCTATGCTGTCCTCTATTTGTCTGGTCAATTTCTGTGAGAAAATGTTTTCTTATCAAATGTGTTTATTTTACTCTCCTTGTGTTTGCCAAAGGTTATTGTTTTTTTGAAACAATGGCTTCCAAAGCAAGGCATGTTTTTCAAAGCACCTTTTTTAAAACGTTTTATGTTGTTTTCTAGAGATGTTACAAGAATAAATTTTTTTAAAAAATTGTAGAGAGAAATTTTCATCAAAGTGAAAAACCATATTCCATGAATGAAAAAACAAAGCTTGAAGGATGATAGCTATGCAAAGAATTTTTTGGAAAAATGCAGTTGAGAAAGCAGATAAATGTTTCTATGATTTTTTGGGAAAAAATATAGGAAATAGGTCTTGACATGCTTTCTGGCTTTTACCAAACTTGTTTTCTTATTTTAATTGATAGTTAAAAGAGTTGATTTTGTGCAAATTAAAAGTTCTTATGGTTAGTCTTTGGAATTGCTTTTCCTCACATTTTTATTTCAGAAAAATCTTTGACATTGCTTTTGCATTTACAATAATGGGCCTGAACATGCTACTTTTGGATATTTGTGTAGGCCTTGGAAATTTTCAGGAAGCAACAAGTGGATTTTCTGATTGCAACAGATGTGGCAGCTCGTGTGAGTAGAAGCTCTATTTCTCTAAATTCATTGATTGCTCTATTTGTCAAGCCCTAACCAAGCAAATCAATCTACTAGAGTCATTTGGGACTATTTTAAGTTTTTAATATCTTTCTCCTCAAAGGAGCC